TTTACCCAAACTGCTGCAGCAGCCTTGCTACTAGTTTTCTTACCTATTTAAAAAAAAAATTTAAATAATTAAAAAAAAAATGTGATAGCCTAGGCGGTGGATAAATACCTCAATGTCTCCTTCCAACAAGTGTCTGTATATGTTGTTGTTGGGTTTTTTCTATCTTACATGTTATCTGAATGTTTATATTCCAATAAACTTCTACCTCTTCACATGGTGACACTGCAAGCCTCGTTTGTGGCTGTGCTCTTCCCCTAAAATGGGAGTTAAAGATTTCCCAGCCACTTCTTCAGCCCAGGGAACTGCTCCCGGAGGCTGCTCTCCCAAACCCCTCCTGTGTCACTGCCTCCTCTGCACAAAAAAGGGCATTTAACGCTTCCCAGTGGTTTTGCTATTGCAGTGTCTGATGATGTTTTTCTAGTCATTGAACCAGTTTTGCAGTCTCCAGCCCTGGCGTTTCTGAGGCCGCAGTGTCTGTTCGTTTTGGCTGGCGGCCGTGCTGAGGGTGCTGGGATGGGGGGCACCCCCCCACCCCACTTGCTCCTCTCCCATGCTGCCTGTGGGCCCCTCTGTCAGCGTGGGAGCCCTGTGTGTGACTGTGAAACACCCATCCGAGGGCGGTGAGGGCTGTGCTGGGGCTGCAGCATGTGTTGGGGCGGCCTCCTGGTGCTCAGATCCAGCCTGGGCTTCCTCCCCGTGGCTGAGATGCTGTAGCACAGTGAGTTGCGGGTGGTGTGAGCATCCCCCCTGCCTCTCCCCGGAGGATGGACGAGCCTCTCGCTGCTGGGTGTCCCCAAAACGGCTGTGAAAATGGAGACGCTGAGAACCTGCTTTTTCCCCTCCTCTCTTTTCAAGCCGGGCGAGTCCCTGAGCTCATGCTGCAGGTCTCAGCTGCAGGATGACCCCGCTGCAGGCAGGGGATTTGGCTGGTGCCTGTCACTGGGGCTGCAAAATCCAGCTGCCTCGCGGTGCCCCTGCCAATTTCATCCTGTGCTGAGCAAGAAGAGATGCGCTGGTATTTTGCAGTCCCCCTGAGGATGCCAGTTACCAGAGGGGAGCTGCTCGCCTTGCCTGGGCTCCAGTCCCAGCCTAGCCAGTGTCCAGCAGGCAGGTGAAGGCCAAGCCTTTCCCCCTGCGTTTTCTCCCCTCCTGCCCACCGGTGGGTTTGGCTTTTCCCAGCTCCAACTCTTCCCCGCGTGAGCTCGGCGGAGGCGGCTCAAGGACTCACCTGCCCTCGCTGCTCGCCTGCAGATGCCCGAAGCAGGTAAGGTGGATTCTGGCAACAGCAGGGAGCGAACACCCCTGGCACGCGCCACTGTGAGGTTTATCCACCGGCAGCTTTAAAATTGGAGGTGGGAAAGGGCTGGGTGCTCAGAGACCTGGTCTCAGGTGAGAGGGGGCCTCCATGGTGGCCATCCCAACCCCACTGCCGAGGCCCAGGATGTCCCTGCAGCATCCTCCAGCCCAGCTGCCCCAGCACCCAAAAGCAGGCACCCAAAGGGATCCAGCAGCCTTTCCCAGCTTCCTCCCCAGCCCTGGAGACCAGTGCGGGGCCACGCTCCAGCCCTCCCAGCTTGCTTTCTCGGGACTGGGCAGCCCTGTTGTTTGGGCTGGAATATAATCCTCCAGGCAAACTCACATTCCAACCCCCTTCCCTCTACTAAACTCCGCTGTTCACCACTCATCCCAGCCGCAACCTGGCTTCCCTAACACCTAACAAAGAGCTGAAGAGAGCCCAGTGCAGATTAAAGCACAACGGGGTAGGAAAGCCCAGCCCCACGGCGTGAGACACCGCTTGCTTTTCTCTTTCAAACACCAAGATCTCTTTTATCGGCCCTGGCTCAGGCTCTGGCAGAGCTCTGCCCAGCCCCTGCTCTCCATAATCCCTGTCTGCAGGGCTGGAGGCGAAGCCAGCTCCAGGCATGGGGAGGTTTTGCACCGGCACAGTGACGTTTGCGTTGGAGCTCATTGCCCACCTCTGAAACCCGAGTTTCTTAAAAAACTTCAACCCTGATGTCCAGGAGTTTGGTTCCCTGGGCCTTAAATGACCCACGGGCAGAGACGCCACCCTGCTCAGCGGCCGGGGAGCCTGAAATCCCACGGGCATCCCCACTGGGAAGGATAAACCCCATCTCATCACCTGCAGGACACTGGGCCTCTGGGCACAGCTCAGGGTGGACGTTGCCCCTCTTTTAGGGCCAGGCTTGGGTATACAAAACCTCAGGGACTGCTGCCGCTTTGAATCCAGCTCAGACACCCCCAAATCACCCTGCCTTGCAGGTGTCCCTGCTCCCCTCCAGCGGCGCTGGTGCCTCCCCATGCGTTTTGTGCCCCCGCCAAGCAAGCAGCTGATGATTGGCCGTGCCCAGCCCACATCAGCCCGGCCCTGCGGTGAGGCCGGGTTTGTCTGAGCCTCACCAGAGCCGGCCTGACATCAGGCTGCCTGCACCCAGATGCCGAGCACAGTCCTGGCCCTGCCACGTCCTCTCCCACCTTCTGGCTTTGGGATGCTCCAGTTCAATGCCGGCTTGCAAAGGCAGCAGGGGAGGTGGACACCCAGGTTGCCCTGTTGCTCCATCACCCTTGGAGAGCCTCGTCAGTGCAGCCCTGGCGAGATCCACTGTGCTAACAGTGCCCATCTCTCTCTCTGCAGTGTATTTGCAGGTCTTCCTCGGCACGGGGCTGGCCCTTCTCCACCTCAGCATCCTCCTGGGCTGCACCATGTGCTGGCAGTGCTTGGGCCCCCATCTTGGCTGGGAGCGGGCGACGGCGGAGCTGGGACCTGCTCTGCCTACCGGGACGGTGTGGGTGCCCATCAAGCAGCACTACGAGGAGGTAGCAGGAGAGGTGCTGGGTGCCCGGGTGGAGGACGGTCCCTTGGCATCGTTGGCACCCCGCGGGGGCTTGCTCCACTGGCAGAGCCTCCTTGCCCAGCCTCTCCTTACCCCCGCAGCCGGCAGGAGCGGGGCAGCACTGCTGTGCCATCTGTGGAGCCAACCTCCTCTGCAGAGAGGAGACCCCGCCGGCCCACCCCATCCTGGGACCTTCCCACCCTGCTGCCCTCTGGTGCTGGCCCCCAGCAGCATCCCCAGCTCCACTGCAACTTGTTCTACTCACCAGCTGAGGCCACGCTCGCCATGACAGTCCTTGGCATCTCCCACCCACCCAAGGGGCTGCGGGGTGGACAGGGCACCTATGTCAAGGTGTACCTGCTGCCGTGGCTCCCAGCATCCTGGTGCATGGCACTGTGGCACGGCAACATCCACCCTGCCTGCTGGGAGCTGTGCCGGTTCGGCCTGTGCAGCCTGGAGCAACTGAGGAGCTTCACCCTGCACTTTGTCATCTATGCCAGGTCATACAGCCCCAAGGACTCCTTCATTGGAGAGGTCCTCTTCCCCTGCACTCAGGTCACCTGGGACCCCCGGGCATCTTCCAGCTACAGTTGGGAGCTGTCGAGCACCAAAACCAAGTGCAGAAAGGTCAGGAGGGCAGGTTGTCCTCATGTGTTGACTGAGGTCCACTTGGCCTCAGAGCCCTAAAGCTCCACGGCGAGAGGCAGAGCCTCCTCCAAGCATCGCCTGGTGGGAGGCAGCAGGAGGGGCTGAAGGTGCCAGGGCAGCAGCTCCCCGTCCCTGCCATGTCCTCCCTTCTGGTGCAGGGTCATGAGCTGCCCACAATTAATATCCATCAACCATAGCAACCAGCAGCGCCTCTGCTTGGGGGCTTCATTGAAAATGGGGATGCTGGGGGTGGAAGGGTTAAGTGCAGAGCTGGCACCATCCTTACGGTGATGGTAAGCGTCAAATTCACCTTCCTGCCTTATTTTTGCCCATTCTTGAGCCACCCCTCTTGCATAAGCAGGACATGAGCATCCCCAAGTTGAGGGGCTGGGCGAGGTTGGAGAAGGCTTCATGGCATCTCCCACTCTCTCATCCCATTGCAGTGCCTCAGCACCCATGCCACGAGCCACAGTGTCCTCTCCTCCCCGCCCTGAATCCCTCGGCCAGCTCTTCCTTCTCCTCCAGTACCAAGCACTGGCCAGCCGCATCAAGGCGCTGGTCTGCAAGGCAGAGCACCTGGGCCAGCTCTCGTGCATGCCGGGCACGCCAGGCAGGGCAGCGGGCAGGAACGGGGGGCAAGGAGATGCCCAAGTGGGCACAGGGAGTGGCCTCCCCTCCTTTTGCTTGGCAGAGTGTCTTACTTCCTCTTGAACTTCTCTTCTCTAAACAAAATGGGGGCAGGCAGCACAGCTAGGCTCCAGGTATCTCCACCATGGCCCCCAAATGCTTAAAATACACCTATTTATGGTAAAAAAAAAACACCACATGGCTTTCTGTCCTGCTGGCTGTTGCCATCTCTGGCTCCCCCAGCCCACGCAAAGCCTGGGATGCGGGCAGGGATGGGAGGTCCTGGCTCCCAACCAGGGAGGGGTAGGTGCAACCCAGGTGGCCAGCACGTCTCCATCCTCTCCCCACATCTCCACAGAGCCCCGTGGAGGTCTTGCAGGCCCCCATGAACCCCAATTTGGCTGCCCACGCCACACAGGAACATGGCTCATGAACCTCCAGCCTCCATCCCTGGTGCCTGTCCAGAGCAGGTCCCTCTCACCAAGGCTCTGTCTCCATTTGCAGGCCACTACGTCATCATGCACCTTTACCACAACAGCCATGTCATCAACACCAAGCAGACCAAGTCCATCATTGGCTACAACCCTGTCTGGAACACACACTCTTCAACCTCCCGGCTGGGGACATCCAGCAGCAGGAGCTGTCCTTGGAATTCACCATCATGCAGGTGAGCAGGATGGAGGTGACCATGGCCAAGAAGGTGGCTTGGATCACCCGTGCTCAGGAGCCTCTCCTGCAACCAGGGGTCTCAGCCCCCACTTGTGGAAGGGGTACAGGCAAGCCCAGAGGAGCTTTTTTTGCTGCCCACAGGAGGTTGGTGGGGCAGGGTTGGTCTTCTTGCGCTGCTTGAAGGCCACCAGCCATGTCCCACACTGCTTCTGCCTCTCTCCTTGCCACAGGCTCGCATCTGCACGCACAGCTCCCTGCTGGGCCACATGCAGGTGGGTCCCCATGCCCCCAGGTCCAAGTGGCTGCACAGGAGGGGGATGTGCAGCCGGGGGCCAGCTGGAGTCAGAGTGGTGGCACCGGACCCAGCCCAACACCCTCAGACATTGATCTTGTCCGCAGCCCATGGGCAGGGCTTGCCTGGGACTCAGCTGCCTGCAGGAGCGAGCGAAGGGGGATCTGGGGGATCTCTGAGCCTTGGAGAGGTGAGGTCTCAGCCTGCACATTGTCGTGGCCTCCATCTCCAGGGCTGGAGATGGGCAGTGGTTGGCAAAACCCCCTTCTGAATGGCTCCGGAGAGGAACGAGCCCATCTGAGGTGGCTTCAGCCTTGGTGAGAGGGGAAGAGCAAAGTAGGAGCCTTTCTCTGCTACACCCGCTGGACGCCTGCTCAGGAGTGAGCCCTGACCACCTGAAACCTTGGACATGGTAGGAGGTGGGTGGGAAGATCACCCAGCTGGGGGACCAGCCCCATGCCCACCCTCTGATGGCCACAGCGGTGGTATCTAATGCCCCTTCTAATGCACCAGCACCAGCCCACCCTCCCCACCCAGTCCCGCAGCAGCTGAGATCTTCACCAGACCCTTCCCCATCTCTATGGGGTGGGACACATTCCGCTCTGCTCCTTGGCAAGAAGAACTGCAGGGACTCGCCAATGTCGCCCCAACCCTCCCTGCACCAGCACTCAAGGTGTTCATCAGCATTTTTAATTAATTGCTGGCCCAGATGAGTGGTCAGTAAATAAGTAAAGGGATCGAGCATGAACGCTCTTTCCTATCCCGGTCCTCTTTGCTCAGCTCTGCCACAGGCCAGCAGCAGCCATTGTCCAGCCTTAGGAGCAAAAACTGTGGTCCAGAGTGGTGGCCTGGGTGAGAGGGGATGGCCACCTACTCATGGGGCGGGAGGCAGCAAAGCCCCACTCACATCACCCCTGCGTGGTGCTAATTAGTAAATAAATGGGACTGAGGCCCTCCCTCCACTGGACATTGAACCTCTTCCCCCAGCTCCTCACCCCTCTGGCCATGACCCATCTCCAGCCCCAAGGGCAGGTCCCCAGGGGGAAAATGGCAGCTCTCAGCACCGATCGGTGGAAGGACTGCATCTGCAGAGCCCGTGGGGAGAGAAGGTGCATGGGCAACAGGGACGAAGAGCATGGCGAGGGCCATCATGGCAAGGGTCGTCATGGTGAGGGTTGTCACTGTGAGGATCATCATGGCAAGGAGCATCATGGCGAGGACGGTCATGGTGAGGAAGGCTGGGGTAAGGATGGCCATCATGAGGATAGCTGTGGTGAGGAAGGCCGGGGTGAGGATGGTCATGGTGAGGATTGTCATTGTGAGGAGCATCATGGCGAGGAAGGCTGGGGTGAGAATAGCTGTGGTGAGGAAGGCCCAATGGTGAGGAAGGCCACGGTGAGGATGAGCATGGCAAGGATTGTCACTGCGAGAATCATCATGGTGAGGAAGGCTGGGGTGAGGAAGGCTGGGGTGAGGATGGCCATGGTGAGGAAGGCCATGGTGAGGATTGTCATGGAGAGGATCGTCATGGTGAGGAATGCCATGGTAGGGAAGGCTATGGTGAGGAAGGCGATGGTGAGGAAGGCCATGGTAGGGCAGGCCATGGCGAGGAAGGCGATGGTGAGGAAGGCCATGGTAGGGCAGGCCATGGCGAGGAAGGCGATGGAGAGGAAGGCGATGGAGAGGAAGGCCATGGTAGGGAAGGCCATGGCGAGGAAGGCGATGGAGAGGAAGGCCATGGTAGGGAAGGCCATGGCGAGGAAGGCGATGGTGAGGAAGG